AGGTGCTTATACAGATACACCTTATGTAGAAAGCACAAATCAAAAATAAATAAATGAAATATGATATATCAAGAACTATGTAATGTTTTGAACAGCCAACAATAAAAAATTAAAAAAAAAAAAAAAAAATAGAAAATTATTGAAAACAGAAAAGAATAGGAAAGGCTAAAATGTGAAATTCATGAATACCTCTGTATGATAGAAATTGAGATAATGATACAGTAATAAAAAGACCTATAATTTTATTCTACCTACCATATTTTTATGCATATAAATATTTAATTTGCAAAGATCTAGGGTAATCTTTCCTACTTTAAAACATTTTAAAAACTATAGTTTTAAAATAATTTCTTAAAATGTATGACAGTGATGCAGCCTTGTATGAACAGCAAGTTTAATAAATTTTTGAGCTATATGAAATTCAGAAATCAATTCAACTGAGCCCTTCTAATAAATGTGAGCACATTGAAGTTAAGTTGTCATTTATTCCAAGCTATCCAGGCAGAGGACAGAAGGGACAAAACCTAAGTTTTTTTTTTTTTGTTTTTTTTTAAGAATGTGGCAAGTGACTTAACTGAGTTATCAGGAGAACAATAGGATTTTGTTGTTACAACTTAAACTACCATCATTATCCTTAAATAAAAATGTTCCTGAATGAAAAAAAAATAAATAAATGAGTGAAAGGAAGATCAGTAGAGAAAGGAGAAGGAGACGAGGGAGTAGGGGAAGGGAAAAGTGGGGAAAATGGGGACTGAAATGGAGTAAATCAAATTCCATGCATATATGATTTTGACAAAATGAACCCAACTACTATGATAACTATAATCTCTAATAAAAAATCATGCTAGGAAAACTGGATATCAATGTGCAAATTAATGAAATTTGAGCCTTATCTATACAAAACCCAACCAAGTCACATGAATTAAACATTAAATTTGCATTAGGCTGAGACAATAGAACTCCTAGAAGAAAATACAGAGGTCACTTATATGACTTTGGTGTTGGCAATAATCTCAACTGTAATACCAAAAGTGTGGGCAACATATATAAATATAGACAGGTAGAACTACATCAATCAGAAAGCTTCTGTGGAGCAAAGGAAACAAACTAAGTAATGTGAGTAAACTATATGAAAAAACATACATCTGAAAAGGGGATATATATACATGTGTGTATATATGTTCTACAATTCAATAGCCAAACAGACAAAAATAACCTACCCAAATAACCCAACTTAAAAATGGGCATTTCTCCAAAGCAGACACACAAGTGACCCACAGGTGTATGACAAGATATACAGCATTACTATCATCAGGGAAATGCAAGTCAAAAATTACAGTGAGATAACACCTCACACTGCTAAGATAGTCGTTATAAAAACAATAATAATAATAGGTGTTAGCAGAGATGTGGAAAAACTGAAACCCTATGGGAATGTATAACATAGCAGTCACGTATAGAATACAATATGGAGATTCCTTTAAAAATTAAAAATAGAACTACCATAAGATCTAGCAATCCAAATCCTGGGTGTTTATCCAAAGAACTGAAATGAGAAACTCAAAAGAGATATATGCCCTCCCATGTTAAATGTAGCATTATTAACAATAACAAAGAGGTGGAAACAACCTAAGTGTCTATCAACATGAATGGATAAAGAAAATATGATATACACATATAATGGTATATTCTTTAGTCTTAAAAAGAAAAGAAATCCTATTATTTAAGACAATCCAAGGTATTTGGAACTGGGGATCATTATGTTAAGTGAATTAATCCAGGCACAGAAAGTATCACATGATCTCATGCATATGGTATCTAAAGAAATTAACCTCATAGAAATTGAGAGTAGAATGGTGATCATCAGAGTTCAGGGATAATAGTGGGCAGGAAGGGACAGGGAAAGGTTGATCAATGAGTACTAGGTTACCACTAGGTATAAGCAAGAAGCTCTAGTATGCTATTAATACAGTAGGATGACTAAATGTACAATAACCTATTGTACATTTGAAAAAGGTAGAAGAAAGAATTTTGATAGTTTTTACCTTAAGAAACTGATAAATGTTTGAGGTTAAACCTGATTTAAATATCACACAATTTATACATATATGAAAACATTACAGAGTATCCCATTAATATGTACAATTTTCATGTTTTGATGCATCAGTTAAAAAAGAAACTTTAAAAAATAAATGCAGTAGTTCAATTCCCAATAGCTAAGCTATGGAACCAACCTAGGTGCCCTTTAACAGATGAATGGATAAAGAAAATGTGATGCATTTCTCCAAAGCAGCCATAAAGAAGACTTCATGACCTTTGTCTGCAAATGGATGGATTGGGGAACTATCATGCTAAGTGAAATAAGCCAGTCCCAAAAACCCAAAGTCTGAATGTTCTCTCTGATATGTAGATGCTAACACACAACAAGCAGGGAAGGAAGAATAGAAGTTCAGTGGATTAGACAAAGGGGAACGAAGGGAAGAGAGGGGTAATGGGAATAGGAAAGACAGTAGAATGAACTGGACATAACTTTCCTATGTTCATATATGAATACACCACCAGTGAAATGCCACATCATGTACAAGCACAGGAATGGGATCCTAATTAGAATAAGTTACACTCCAAGGACGTAAAATATGTCAAAATATACTCCACTGTCATGTATATCTAAAAATAACAAATTTTTAAAAAATGAATGCAGTAGAACAGCTAAGAGCATTTGGTTTAAAAATAATATGGGAAATGTTGTTTAACTACAAATTGAAAGCTTTATAAAGCTTCTCTAATTAAAACCATGCAGTGCTAGTACTAGAACGACAGAAAGATCAAGAAAATATTACAAAATAAAAATCTAAAAGCCCAAGTATTTATCTATGTGCTATCATCCATCTGAGAGAAAAGAATTTCTTATTTACTAAGACCTAATAAGCTCACTATTTAGAATAGACCAATCTTATATCATTGACAATCTTATATCATGCATAAAAAAGATTAGATACATACATTTAGTTTACATCTAGACTGGTGACAGAATACTGAAAATAGTTTTTCTAACTTTTTGAGCTTCCCTAAATCTTCACTGACATTAAAGTTATATAAAACTCCAAACATCAGATTCTAGATGAATACAGAGTAGCATGTCCCAACAGTAAAAATAAACATGCCGTTTTTCATTTCCACTAAAACTGTTTTTTCTTCTAATCATAAATGCAAATGAAAATTGATTGTTCAGTGGAATAGTGTTATATTATAGGAATAGCAAAGAATTTTAGAGTCTTAAGATTTGGCTTAAATCCAGCTTTGTGGGGTATTTAACGATGGTGGAATGTGATGAACATTATTATCCAAAGTACAGGTATGAAGACACGAATTGGTGTGAATATTCTATGTATACAACCAGAGATATGAAAATTGGGTTCTATATGTGTAATAAGAATTATAATGCATTCTGTTGTCATATATAAATTAAAAAAATATATATGTAAAATAAAATGGTATAGTTGAAAAAAAAAATCCAGCTTAGTAAACACAAATGGAAAAATAAGTCATGCTTCAATGAGATGTTCCACTAAAAGAATATTTTCAAAGAACAAACACTGACAAAGGAGAGTTTCACTCATTCAGCCAGTCAATAAATATTATGTCAGACCCTGAACCATGTGCTTAAGATTAAAAAAATAGAAAAGAAAGTAAGGAAGACATGCTTCTTACTGTCAAGAAGCTTACAGTCTAGTGAGGAAAGCAAATAAAGATTACAGTCATGATGTAGTTGGTATAAAAGGTTCCAAGAGATATGTAAGTGTATAGCTAGGGGACCTACCTAAGTCCACAAGAGACAAAGAACTATGTGTACATTAAAGACTTAAACACATCAGCAAAGAATAATATTGGAAGTGTAGAAAAGAATATATTAATATTAAATACTAACTATAGAATTAGAAGTATTACTAATTTCTATTCCCCTATTTTTCTTTATTTTCTATATTTCCTAAAGAAATCATATATCACAATTTACTCTATTGATCAAAAAGCATTATTAAAGTAACACTAAAGGACTGGATTTGTAGCTTAGTAGTAGAGTACTTGTCTGGCATATGTAAGGACCTGAGTTCAATTCTCAGCACTCACTGCACAAAACAAAACAAACAACTACAACAAAAAAAATCCCTTTACCATTTATTAGAATTTTTTTTTAAAGGTTGTTTTCGTTTTTATTAAAATCTTAGAGAAACCTGTTATAACAAAATTTACTGTATTCATTTGGAAAATAAGGCTAACAATAGCTAACTTCACAAAATTGTTGCCTAGGATCAAATATGTTAACATATGTGCAGAAAATTTTATCATTGTTTGCTAGACCCAACTCATTTATCAGGCCACCCAATAAAAGAGTATCAAGACAAAACAAGGAGGTGGGAAGGTGAGTGCAAAACTTGACTACAGATGAGGACAATGGAAATATGGTCCTGATGGAGTTGATGAGCTAGTTCCTGATGTGTTGCTGCTACTTGATCTGGCAAAGATGATAGCAATGCTATTAATCCAAGTATAACTCCCATCCCACACCTGTACCACTGAGCTTATAACAAATCTTAAAAACCTTCTCAATGAATTCTCCAGGCAGTTACTTGGAATTAATCTATAAGCACAAGATACTTAAAACCTTTTACTATCACTTGTATGCCTGATTTCCAATGCTAACACAATTATAAATTTTTTTTAAAAAGACAGTATGATCATAAAAATACTTTAGTTTTTATTTTAATCATTAAATATTCTGTATTCTTTGAAGAAGTATATCTTCCAGCATTCCTAGAGGTTCAGTTTACAATTTTGTGAACCACAGTTATACATGTATTATTCCAGAACCTAAATAACAGACTATAGCATTTTGCAAATATATTTAATAAATATATTTACAAATGATGAAGTCAGCTACAAATACACTTTTAGATTGAGTGTTGCTTTTTCATAAAACGAAGAAAACAAGTTTTTTTTACCTTTCCTCTGGAGTATCTACATGAAATGTTCTCTCTATAACGGTGGTCCACTGGAGACATCTGATAATAAATGTGTTTGGCTTTGGTCGTTCTGTTTTCATTAACTGACATTCTAGAAAGAAAATAAAATATTTCTTTAATATATACACACATATTTACACCATGAAATAAGCAGAACTACAGAGTTCTGTTTTAAACAAAACCTAGCGCAACCTCACAGCTTTCCATGGATCTCTGCTCAAAATTATTCACAACCTTACATTGGTATTCCTTTTTAACCCACTGCCATTCCGCCAAATCAGCTAATCTGGATTATTTAATTTTCACAAAACACAATTTGTTCTTTCCTATATTTATACCTTTGCTCCAGCTGTTACTACTATCTGTAGTATATCACAACTTTTTATCCCACCCATGTTATCTCTAGTAGTCAAAGTAATACCCATTCTTTAAGGTCCAGATCAAATTCTGCTCCTTCCATTTTACAAAACCACTTCCTCATCTATAGTCTCATATTTATTACTGTACCCCTCATTTTTCACTTAGCATAGTCTTATAGCATTTTTTATCTATTTAAGAGGATTTCATTTTATCCTACCTTCTGATAAAATATACTGCCTACAATTCTTAGGTATCCAGTGGGTAAAGCCAGTCAAAGAAGCTAAGCAGACTTCACAGAAAAGAATAGTGTTGTAGATAAAAGTATAGATTCTAAAACCAGTGTCCCTAATTCAATTTCTTTTTCTGCCAGAAACTATACAACCTTGGACAAGTTAATTATTTCTCTGGTCTTCAATAACAAGTGGGAAAAAATAAAAGTACCTCTATCACAGAATTAACACTGGGACTTATAATAAATTCATGTAATAGTTAGCATAATACATGACAAAAAATAAACTTTCAATAAACACCAGCTATTATTAATGGATGTACATTTGAAATGAACTTTAGAAGATAAATGATCATAGATACCCAGAGATGGTAAGGTAGGATTGTCTATGCTTTTTAAAGAAATTAGCCTATTCCTAGTTGACAAATTCATCAGTGCTTATCTGTTTTGTCCTTTTTCCATCATTAACAACTATCTACTCCAGCATTAACAACCATTAACTACCACAAAATTTTTGGTTTTAACGTCCAAGTAATTACTCACAATAGATTAATTCTTTATTGACTCTTTAAATTGAAAAAAAAATAATTCAACCAAGTTTCTCTACTTAGTTTTATTCTCTTTTCCATAACCTTTCATGGTTTTAGCCATCCCCTTTTAGTTTGTCAATTTCAAAATTCAAACTTTATTCCAACTGGAACACCATCTTAAAATACACATCAGAAAATAGGGGCATAGCTCAGTGGCAGACTGAGCCCCTGGGTTTCATCCTGCCCCAACCCCCAAAAGACAAACATGTTTACTTATATAGAGAACATTTCTATCTTGTTGAATTACTAGTACTATATCTGAAACCACCGATTATCTTTCCCCCTAAATCCATTTTTTCCTGGCTTTCTTCATTTTCCCATCACCTAGACTGAAACATGGAAAGAGATCTTCTTTTTTGATGTTGGTTAATACTTTCCTTTACCTGGGTTTTCCACTGGTGACATTCTATTTCAGATTCTCACTGCCCAATGCCTAAACCTCTCTCACTGCCATAAAACTAGAATCTTCCTGCTCAGATATTGAGAGTCCACATATGTTATTTAAAAATAGTAACTGTGTGAGATATCTGACATGTCCTAAAAAGGAACTCCTGATCATTCCTACCCTGCATTCTCTGCCAACCTCCTGATGACTTACTCCATTTCAGATGATGAAATCTCCATCTTTTCGATAACTAAAGCCAAAAACTTGGAACCCTTTGGAGTCCTCTCTTCTCACATCATGTTCATTCCTTCCAGCTATCCTTCTGGTTCTACTTGGAAAAACATAATCCAGTTTCTGATCACTTGTCACCACTTGCACTACCTCAGACTAAGCCATTATTCTCTATCAAAACTTCAGAACAGCTCTCCCTTGCTCCTCATTTCAATTTACCCTCAACAATGAGAAATCTTAAAATGAACATCCTCAACAATATTCTATATGTTTCAGTTCACTAAGAATAGAAGGCATGAGCTGGGGTTGTGGCTCAGTGGTAGAGCACTTGCCTAGCATGTGTGAGGCACTGGGTTTGATTCTCAGCATCACATACAAATAAATGAATAAAATAAAGGCCTATCAACAACTAAAAATACATACAAAAATTATTTAAAGAGAATAGAAGACAAAGGCCTTGAAAAAGTTCACCTAGGATCCTTCATGATCTGGTCCTCCCACTTACCCCACTAAATTTCTAACCTCCTCCCCCTTACTCTTTCAAACCACTCTGCCAGTTACCATGGCTTCAACCATGCATTTTTTTTTTCTTTTTTCCAACAATGGGATGTACTCTCAGCTGAGGGCTTTTTGGTAAGCTATGCCCTCTGCCTGGCATTCTTTTCCCTCACATATCCCCACAGAAGACTCCCTGCCTTCCCTCAAGTGGTAGATCAATTCTAATCTTCATATTTATGCCTAACTTGGGAATTCTTTTTAATACAATCTGGACCCCATGTACATGACTCCCCAACTTTTTATCTGCTCTACTTTTATGAGATGACAAACAGTATATTTCTTGTTTATTGTCTGTCTCCTCAACTAAAATGTAAGCTCCACTGACATATTCTCAGTGCCTGACACACAGTGAACATTCAATATTTTCCAAATGAATTAATTCTGGGAGTAAAAAAAATCCAACAATTTTGATGATACACGAAAAATGAGAATTTCTGGGGCAACTTTCCTATATAAACAGGGAGAAATGGAATTTACTGGACAAGTAGAAAGGATGCTCTAGTCAGAAGTACAGATAGATTAGTGATGGAGCAGGAGAGCAGATAGAATAAAAGGACCCAAATGAAGTTAAGGGTATAGATGCAAGTGGGAGCTGGTAAAAATTATTTTCTCCTTGCTTCAATTTTTTCAGTGAATTAGGATACAAAGTCATCTACTAAGAACAGAACTGAAAGAGGAGACTTTTGGGCTTTGAGAAAAAAAGAAAATATGAAACAGCATTCTAGGAAAATGGAAGAGCAAACAGATGAGGAACATTAAGGGGCAACTTGGACTTAATGTTCAAGAATTTAAAGTACTACCAGAGATCATAGTTGTTTATTATTCCCTAGATATACTTAACTACATGGGTGCGGGTGGGGAACACTGAGAACAGAATTTAAGCAGACTGTTTTAACCAGTAAAGTTTGACAAAACAACAACAACAACAAAAAAAAAAAAAAATGGAAAAGAGTAGAAGCAGCAAGGCAAGGGAGTGATTAAGATAATCAACCAAGGAATTTAAAATGAGTTTGGAAGGAAAGGAGAACTTTGATGTGTATAAGGAAAAGGTAATACAATTAATAGATTATAAAAATCCATTCTATCATAATTAAACCTTGTACAACAAAGTTACACATTTTTTGAATTATGAAAGTTTAAAAATACCAAATACAGTAGGTCAGTTTGTGGTGTTTGAAATATCAAATTTTTAAAATACTGGACACTATACCCATTTATACCAATAAGAAGCCACCAAAATTCCTACGACCCACTTTGCCCAGCAGACTTGCTCTCTTTGAAACCCATTATTACTTCTCATTTCCCTCTTTTTAAAGAAATCCTATTAAATTTCCAGCTGGTAGTTCACTATATTGTCCTGTATATATGTTATTTTGATCTTGTAATCAAATTACTTAAAAGTTAGGACTTAGTTGTATAGTTCTTCCTACAGTACCTAAGACTGGGACACTACATAAAGGTACATAGTTAATAATTATTGATCGACTGGCTTTGTTTTTGTTTTTTGTACTGGGATTAAACCCGGGGATCCTTTACCCCTGAGCTAACATTCCTACTCCTTTATTATTATTTTAATTTCAAGACAGGGTCTTACTAAGTTGATGAAGCTGGACTCAAATTTGTGATTCTCCTGCTTCAGTCTCCCAAATGGCTGGAATTACAGGTGTGCGCCACAGTGCCTAGCTGACTGACCAGCTTTTAATGCAAACAACAAAAGACAAAACATTTATAAGAGGGGCAGGTGTGAAAGAAATACTACAGAGAGCCCTGTGGAACAGAGCAGAAAAGGAAAGAACATCCAAGCTCAGGTTCATCCATTTTATTTAATGTTCCCATTGTCATGATTTAGAAGTAATTAAGAAAACAGACTTTGAAATTAAAATACTACTTATTGATAGGGTTGGCTATTTATTTATTTATTTTTGGTGTTAAGTTTTTTGAGTGCTTTACATACCCTGAAGATTAGTGTTCTATATGATGTGCACGTGGTAAAGATTTTCTCCCATTCTGTAAGCTCTCTCTTCGCATTATTTTTTCTTTTGCTGAGAAGAAGCTTTTTAGTTAGAATCTATCCCATGTATTGATTCTTCATTTTATTTCTTGTGCTTTAAATAGTTTTGTTAAGTCAGGTCCTAATCTGACATTATGAAGATATGGACCTACTTTTTCTTCTATTAGGCACAGGTCCTTGATCCACTTTGAGTTTTGTGTAAGGTGAGAGAGACAGATTTAACATCATTTTGCTGCATATGGATTTCCAGTTTTCCCAGCACCATTTGTTAAAAAGGCTATCTTTTCTCCAATGTATGTTTATGGTGCCTTTGTCTAGTATGAGATACCTGTATTTATGTGAGTCTACCTCTGTATCTTCTATTTTGTACCACTGGTCTCATCATACACTATCAACTGTGTTTTCCTAGTCAAAGTACTTTACGTCTATAAATTCTCATCTTTAAAAGCACTATCAGGAATTAAAAAAAAAAACTTAAAAGGAAGTCTATTTTCAGCACCACACCTAAATGAGATTTAAGTGCTATAATTTAAAAAACTTCTCAACATTAGAATTTAAAAAGCTGTTTAAAATACTATCAGGTTTCAGGTAAGTCTCAATTATTATTATTTTAAAGCTGCTACAAACAATGGTAATTTATTTTAATTATCATTCTCAACAGACCACAGAAATACACTGTCTAGAAAAGAATAAAATATTTGTATGTATTTATGTATGGGGTAGTTTG